TAGAGTTCAAAACTCCAACCACCTTACTCAAACACATAAGATTTGGAGTGGAACCATTGATTCTAATCGCCCAATTCCATACTTTCTTCTTTCCGCCATATTAGACTGGCACTCGTTATATTTACTAAAAGTTTGTCTAGTTTCTACCTTTGGGTGGAGTGTCTTTTATCACTTTAACTTTACTTTTATTACTTTGTTAAAGTGCAATTTTTCTTGAAATTGGATTTAAGCTTTTATAATATATTATTAAAAAAAAGTTATCTAATTTATATTTTAAAAATATAAATTAAATATATAATTAATATATTTTTTATAATTAATTTATATAAAAATAATAAAATTAACTATTATTTTAAAAATACTATTACATAAATAATTTTAATTAATTAATTAAATTTAAGTTAATTTTTATTAATTTTTATATAAATTAATTATAAAAAATATATATTTATTATAAACTCAAAATAAAAAAAAATCCTTTTTGAAAAATTAGATTGATAATTGATAAGTGTGATTTGAAATCACAAAAACTTAGTGTACTACTCTTGGTCGGTGGCAGGCGGAGACGTGATAGACTGATAGCCAATCATATTTTACGGTGCCATTTTTTCCGTATTGTTGGGGCAATGCAAATAATTTAATGCGGTGGGGACGTGACAGACGTTCAACGTACGTTCTTCTCCTCTAACTATTACACCAAAGAAAGTAATTTGATTTTGACCCCAATATTTTACTATTTTAGTTGACTTGTATCACTCATAGTTACTGCATTATAAACGTTTTTTTTTTTTATTTTATTTTAATTGTATATGAAAAATAATTATTTTTTATTTTTATTTTATTTATATATTATACAATTTAAAATTAAAATTTTTTATTTAAAAAAATAATAATTACTAAATTATTTAAAAATATTTAATAAATCATATTTATAAATTAAATTCTATTATAATAATTATTTAAAAATTATAAATAAATAAAATTATAATAAAAATAAGTGATATTAACAAGATTATTAGTGACCATAATTTTATTTTTAAATAGAGAATGTACTCGTTTTTAATATTAGAAATTATCTTATTAAATGATTTTTGTTTTGTAATGATAATCTAATTTAGTAGTAAAATGTGAAACTCATTTTTTTGTTTCTTAAATTAATATTTGAAATAAAATGCAGCCGCAGGATTTGGCAAGCGAGGAGGGAAAGGAACAGTTGAGTCTGGTGTCTGTTCCTTTCCAGGGTCCCCTTGCCCGAGGTGGAAGGTCTTAAATTCTTACTCTCTTCCTTAATTTCCTTGATTTTCCCTGTTCACTTCACTTGCTTAAATAACTTATCTAAAAATGTGGGAAATGATACAGGAGATGGAAGATGAATGACCGGACACAATGTCCAGTGACGACCAAGACAAGAGCGTGGACATTCAGGAAACTAATAAAGAGGACAAAATTACAGAAGCAGTGGATCTACTCATGCTATTCAAAGTAAAAATTAATCCCATCGAACAAATTGAAATTGAAGCTGGAATATCGTTTAGTACTGTTAGATTTCTTTAGGGAGAAGATGATATATTGTTGAAGACGGTGCAAATATTGGAGGCAGAGAATTTGAGATGGAAATGTTGAAGATGGCAGAAGTGTGTGGTTTAACGGGCAGAGTCTAGAACTGATTTTGGGGTGGGATTGGGAAGTGAAGGAGGGAAAAAAATATTGCTTGAATGATATGGAGAAAAATGGAAAATGGAAAATTTTGGAGGAAGAAACAAAATTAGAATTAGTCCTGGAGACAACCTACCGGCCAAAATTAGAATTGGAGGTTGAAATGTTCACTTCTTTCTTGGATGAGCTGTTAGTTTGGACATACTCAGGAGTCAGGGTTGTTTGGTTCCATTTTAATTTTGAAGAGAACGTGGGAGACAACCTACCGGCCAAAATTGTTTCTCTTTTCTTTTTGAGACATGGCCAATCATTCCATCGGCTTCGAACAGAGAAGAAATAGTAGCTGTGTTATTGTTTTTTTTTTTTTTTTTTTTTTAATAATGGGTAGAATATTTTTAGTTTAGTTTTTATATAATGAAAATTTTTAACTTCTACCTTAATGTATAAATGAAACAAATTCTTATATATTTTAAGAATAATATCTTTCTGAGTAATTTTAAAAACATATACATTTTATTAATTTAATGCATTTAAAAAACATATTAGAAATTTTTTTTTTCCCTTGCTTTGCTTAGGGTTGGGGGCAACGGTGACGGGTTTCTCCCTAAGGTCTCTCTCCGGTTAGGAGTTCCTCCCTTTTCCTCTTCTTCTCTAGCAAGGGTTTCTCCTCTTGCTCTCTTCCTTCATCCTCGTCGTCTGTCTTGCTTTGAAAACTTCAACCAAAGGGACCACAAGGTAACGGCTCCTTTCGATCAACATCAACTATTGATTTTTGATGGCTGCGTCTGGATACTGAGGGACTTGATCTTGCCGTTGGTTGGATTTCTCCCATTTACTGAGTCAGATTTTCACTTAGGCATGTCTCCTCATATGAGATCTTGGTAGGGTTGCATTCGGAGAAACTAGCGCACTCCAATTTTCGATTTGGTAGCCAAATACCGAAGGACATGGTTGTTGTTGGCACTTTGGGTTATGATCTGCATAGGAAGCATGCTACTCACATTGGCAAAGGGGCTTTAGTTCCCTTCACAATCTTTGCCAGCAAGGGTTTTTAGAGGATCGAGAATGATGGGCACATGATTGGAAGTATTCGGCGGAGATTGGGGAGCCTTGTGTTTGTTCGGAGACTTGGCCAAGAGGAACAAGATGCCATTGGTGAAGCTGATTATGTTTTGCAAAGGGCTTTAGTTCCCTTCCACAGTTTGAGCAGCAAGGGATTGAGGAGGATTGGTAAAGCGAAGACACATGCTTGTGCTGA